ATTTAATGTACTTTTACCAGAATATGTATTATAGTTAAGCTGGCATAATAGTTTACTAAAATGTAATTGTGTAAATACGCTCAGTTATTCTTCCTGATGATCTGACAAAATCTAATATAATGTGTATTCATGGATATTTCCCTCCTCCTTCACCTCAACACCAATAAAACAGTTCCTGCAGAGCTGATCACAGATAGCTTGTCATCTGAAGGTGTTACTTTTAAAAGATATTCTTATCTCTCAGGCACTATTCATGTCCTTGAAAGAATTGTGCATTTTGATTGAGGGATCATATGATGTCCACACTGAATTATATAATAAAGGTGATCTCAAGACTCTAAAAGTCAGACACACACGATGAACTGTGCTTTCTAGGTTTTGAGATGACATTTTAAAACTTCTTTTGTTTCACTCTAAGATTGCTTGAGAGTCTACCTATTTGGAGGTGTTTGACATCACTCTGCCACATCTGTAATTGGCATAGCATCCAGCAGACAGGCTCTGTACATCTTTACACTGCAACCTACCAAGTTAAGAAATGTATTGGTTCAATATAAAACAGCAGGCTGTTTTTAGACATAGTTACTAGTGCACAAGCTTTAATATGGCTTGGCTTCATCCTATAATGAGATCTTTTGGTTCCCTGCTCAACAGGCTTTTATTCCTTTGCAAAAGGCTATGAACTATGTCAAGTGGATCACCTGCTTTTGTACACCCTCTTTCTTGGCTTTGGAACATAATTCCTTTGCTTCTACCCCTTTATGCATCAGACAGAACTTAAGAACCTTTTCCATTTTTCAAGCTAAACTTAGAAAGAATTTGTTTGAATTTGCTTTTCACTCTTTTGCTAATAATTACATTCTCAACTGAAACTCACACAAAGAACTGCCTGGAAGGGAGCACTTAATTGCAGAGCTATACTTTGTCTTTAATGCGTATATCTATACCCCCTGTTGATAATCTGTCAAGGGATGATTATCTAAAATTTCTTTAGTCACCTCACAACTAAATTAAGCATTCTTTAAACAAGCACAGAGGGCATGAACGTGGACAAACACATGATAAAACTAGCATTACCAGCTGCAGTTCAGTCAAAAGGCAGAAACCTATTCCTGTTGACATCTGGCTGCTTAAAAGCTGTTGTCCCAGTCCCATAGGAAAATGTCTTACTGTGGTCCCCACTTGATGAATGGGGTGGTAGAGAGATTTGTGTCTCCTGGCGATCTTGCTTTGCTGAGGGGGCTTGCCCATTACTTTTCTTATAATCCTGTTCACCACCAAATTGTCTATTGGCATCATTAAAATCTGATCAAAAATACGAAATGTTGACTCACAGGAAGTGTAGCCCCTGTTCAGTGGAGTTCTGCAATGTGAAAATACATGGCAGATATATCACCGTGTATTTGGCATCACGCATCTGTGCTTTGGCAACAATAAGCTGTACAGTAGGGCTGCATTGTAATGCTATCCCTCTTCACAGCCACTGCTATTTAAACCTAAATCTCTAAGAGTAATCTTAAATAAGCAAGTAATTATTAGTAGTCTCAATGTTAGAACTAAATTTTCTCATGGAGGTGCCAAATTTCTTCCCTAGGTCGAAACTTCTTTAGGATTATATAACTGCCTTGAGGCGCCTACAGAAAACACAATGAATGTATTAGCTACAGGGGACCATAGATGTGGAGGGTGGCGAGGACTCCCTTGGAGTACCTAGTCCTTGATTAAAAATTTTAAATAGGAAGTGTGCAAGACCCTATTAATATATTAACCTAGGTTTAAACAGAATGGCATGATTTACTACATTAGAGTGAAAGAAAAATGGGTATTAAGAATTTGATGAAATTTCATCTTGCCTGTCACAGGAGGTGTATCAAACCTACATGTCTAAAATCACAAGTAGTTGGAAGAAGCACAGAGTCTTGAGTAATTTGAAAAAACAATCTTATTAATAAATAAACTTAACTCTTTAGGCAGTTGGGTAAATCTCAGTATATAAACTCAAGAATCTGAACTCAAGTCTTACTTATGTTAGGCAGTTATGTTTGACACTTATGAATCAAGAATCTAGGATACTTATAAACTCTATATGGAAAAGAATGGAAAGTTATTACATAGGATTTCCCTGGTTAATTCTTAAACTGTTAAAAACACTGATTACGTCAGGTGAAGAAAATGGATGTAGTTGATATAAGAATATGAAAAAAAAGAAATTGTTTTCCTAGTTCTCCTCAATAAAGTGATACTACATATTTTTTAAGTATTAAGTGTAAAACATTCCCCACTATTTAAAAATTATGCCATTAAAAACCCTACACAGAAATACTTTTCATTTACTTTAGGGTACAATTAACTAATGCCCAATTTCATAGCTCTTCGGTGTTTAGTCTCAGCATACGTTTTAAAAATTGACCTTAGTTTGTATAAATTGGAAAGTAATTTCGAATAAAAAACGCTTTTATCCAAAGAATGCACAAATCTTGCATTTGGCCTACTGTGAATATTTAATTTTTTTGAAATGTTATGTCAACTATGATTTCCAGTGTAGAGTTCCATATCTTTTGTAGTTCATATATGGGCACGTGTCATGTGATTTACATAAGGAAATCTACAACAAAAAGTCTTGGGTTTTATGTAATAGCTGAATCATTCAAATATCAGTTAATCTATCCAAAAGATATGCAGATAGGCTAGAGAACATTGGAGAAGTCATATTTTTTTATTTTGAAATAATGTATTCTGGATAATACAGGTCCAGTTTAAAAACCAAGTTTCCACATTGATAAAGAGACCATATTTGTAACTGTAAACTATAGCATTTAGTCAAGATGGCCATATAATTCAACAAAACATTTTACATGAAGAAATTCTAAAATATTGAAACTATTTTCACATTTGCCTACATTTTTTTTTTCAATTCATACAAGGTGCTTTAAGGAATGACTGTAGAGTAGACAGCAGAGGAAAAGTACTATGAATATAAATATGAAAATAAAGTCCTGCTATTAATGTTCTCTGTTACAGAGAACCATTCTTTTAAAGGTGCTAATATTTTTATCAAACAGTAACAGAATATATTTAAATATTAGAAAAACCACTTGCTTGAACAATCTTACAGGATATAAAGTACTCTAATAATTCCAAGTCATTAGAAGTTACTCCTATACCATAACATATGTTAACTTTGGGTTATGTAAATGTTCAGATTTTAGTTACTATGAAATAGTACAGAGGCTCTTATATTTTATTTAACAAATGAAAGACACTTTTAGACAAGAGAAAGATAGCTGTTTACTAGAATTCTTTTCAAAATGGACAATTGTAAGTTTTGCTTGTGGAAATAGCATTGATTGGGGGATTCAAGAATTTAATAATTCCTTTTTAAGCCCTTTAATGAAACCAGTAGAAACTAGGTTTCAACTCAAAGGAAAAATCTTAAGTGTCCACATTTCTATGCTTCAGGTTTTATCTCTCTTAAAAGAAAGGTTTGCTCAAGGCTTCCTAAAATGATGTTTTTATTTTCACTATCAATTTGCTACTTAAACTGGAAGAGCTAAAAATAACTATTAATCGCAAAGTAAACTTTTAAATTTTCTACAAGAATTACATTCACTCAAACCAAACTAAAATTTGGGGAAGATCAAACTCAGTAGGAGAGCAGATAGTATCAAATTTACTCCCCCTTTCATCTATGCCAAACGCTTCAGGTCTTGATAACTATGTTTAGTCTTATATTTACTTCTCTACACTCAGGGGTCTTCATAACCTGTGATACTGGTGGAATTTAACATAAAATTGTAATACTGAACTCTGTGCACAATAGTGGGTGTCAAGATTACCATTACCTTGAAGGAGTGGTTTGCATTTAACTGTGTTTTGCAAATGGAACATTGGTTAGAGAAACTCAAATAACCTCCCCTCCCCACGAAAAGACTTAAAAGTTTCTCAAAAAACAAATGGTTTTGAATAAATCAAAAGCAGAATTTAATATAAAAAGATTTCCTAATTTAAATGTTATTTGTCAAACATACTTTGACTATAAAATGCAGCTAATTTATACGGCATTTTTATCAAAACTGTTGTAAAAGTTAAATTATGTGCAAGATAATGCATAGTTAAGTTAAATTTTGTAGTTTAAAAAAAGAGATGTGTTCCTGCAACTAAAGAAAATACATACTTAAGACATTTTTCTGTTAACTACTTATGGGCACACGTTTAGGTTTTCACCTAAAACTTTGTCCTAAATCTAAATAATTCATTCAAGCAGCAGGTGAATTATTCATCCTAAGAGGCTTTCTTAAATGCCACATTCTTGAAGTCTTTGGAATATTCCAGCAGACATTAGCTGTTCCTTTCAGTGTATTCCCACAGCCTTTTGAGTTTCTCTCCTAATCCTCACTTCAGCATGCCTTGTGGAATCGTTCATTCTGTACAGTCTCTTTCCTCTGCTAAACTGTATTCTCCTTTGGGTGGAAGCTGATTGACGTCTAACTCTGCATCTCAGTAAGAGATTATACAGGGTAGGCACTCAGTCTGTTGAGAAAGTGGAAAAAAATAAAGGACAGAGCGTAGAGATCAATACTAGTTACCTAACTATTGTGTTGCTTGATTCCCAAAATTTACTTCAAAGTAAAGATGTTTATTTTTAGTAATTAATAGATAAACATCCAAACAAATTGTCTGGTTTAAATAACCATTGAGCAATAATATATTTAGAGCAAGAGGCTCCTGAGAATGATTAATGGAAATATGTATAAGCAAGAAGACATTTAGCATTCTTTTCTGGTCAAAATAGAATGTCTCTCAGTCATTGTAACCTATACAGAATTTTAAAAGTAGTTAACGTTTCACATATTAAACCATGTAGATTTGACTACAGAGAAAAAAGACTTTCAGAGATTGTTTAAAATGAGTTAACAGTGCAAATACTGGGTTGCTTCATGAGATTCTTACCATGTATTTCTTTTCCCCCTTAAAAGAAAAATTCTTAAAACACTCTCCAGTTTTAACACACACAGAAGATAAATATTTATGAAGGGAAACAAATTCCACAGCATTCCATGCAGATTTCCAAACAGTCCGATGATTCACAACAGGCATCCATGATGCCACAATCCATGTCACACGGGCAGTTACAGTCATCTCCCATCTCATCTCCGCAGCAACAGCAGCAGGCTTCCGAGGTACAGATGCCACATGAAGCTTGTCCCAGGACAATATTGCAGAGGGTCAGGAATTCACAGAACAAGCAGGCCAGGATACAGTGGACACAACAATCTTCATTTTAATTGAGACGAGACCACATAAAAAAAGAGGAAACACAAAATACATAAATCATTAATAGACTGAACTGTAGGAGCTGATCAGAAGAAAGTAATCCAGAATCAAATGACATGCAGTCCTAGGAGTCTTTCGGAGATCGGAAGCTGAAAAAGAGGGTAACATTCCAGAACAGTAATCTTTGGAAGTAGAAACTGGATTCGATTAAAAACAAGGGGTCACAGTGTGCACGTGTCCTGGGAGCGATGTTATCACTCTCAGACACTGTGATGTTTTCTTGTCCTGAGTTCCACTTCTCTCTGCCTCTTACCCACCAGTCCTATATCAGTGCTCTCTGTAATATCAATCCATGACATTGAAGTCCTTCAGAGATAGGTATTTTCTCCAGCTCCCCTTATCACCTTGCACCAAAATTGGAAGGGAAATAATTTAAAGATGATATAGCAGTATATTCTTGAATAATTGATTCAATAGTTAAATTGGAAACCAATATACTGGATCAAAATATTTTACTTTGCAATAACGCTGACCCAATTTCGTGGTCTCAAAATTTTCTGATTTCACAAGAATTAAAGAAAAGGTGATTGTCTGGTTGGGTCCAATCATCGATTCTAGAACAGCTTTAATTTCTAACAAAGGATGTGTACCTTAGCAAATGTACCTAATGACACGGTAACATTACTTTCCTACTTCCTGTGTGACCGAGCCCTTGAGGTTTCTATTTCCTGAGACACCTCCAATGATGCCTCTTCAAACAACAGTGTGTACTTCATGAACTGGTATGAAAAGGTAAAGAAATCAAACATTATAATCTAACACATTTAGTACACCACATTCTATACTCATCCCTTTGGAATTTTGGGGAAATTAAGGACAACTGAAGAAAATCTCTATACCTGGAGGGCTATAACTATGTAATAAAATTATCTAAGACTCAATGTTGACATTCGTCCAATTACAGAATTACTTGTGAATTTCTACCAGGGTTATTCTGGGCATTTTGTTGCTAGAGTTCATACAAAGTAAACATTAATGAGCAGATTCTAATTCCTGAAACGGCAACAATCTACATCTATCTCCATTTCCATCCCACTCTCATGTGCCCTTTGTGTTTTCGTCTTTGTGTTTAAAACTGAATGTCTGTGATGCAGTTTCAGTAAATTTGTGTGAAAACCAAACATGGAGAGGAAAAAACACAGTAACTATTTGGCAGCCCTGATGTTCTATATAATGCCATATACCGCAGCATGTAGGTGTGAGTTGACAGATTACTTGTAGCATCACTATTAGAAAGGTTTTAGGGAAGGAAAAATAACTTCAACTAACCTAGGACAGTCTCAACTTTACAGACCTCTCTCTGACCATATCATAAACACCCCAGCTCCTTGAGCAAACCCCTATTCTGTTTTGTTTTGTTTTTTAACTTTGTTAACATGGTCAGTGTGAAAATACAAGGTTATGATCTACATGCCAGATGACAAAAAAAGGGATAAGGGTGAGAACTGACAAGGGAAACTCCTACTTATTGTTGAATGAAACATTAAAAGAATATGCCAATCTTCCTGTCCATTCTTCTCAGTGCCAAGCCTACTTTTTCTATGGGGCAAGTGGGAAAAGATCATAGAGTTGTAATAGTGTCCAGGTTTCTATCCATCTTCCCTTAATTTTTTTGGTAGTATCCAATCATACCAACACCATTAACCTAAAGATGTGAGAGTGTGGTTTCCATCTTTTTATAAAATTTTACCCTAACATTTGTTTTATTTGTATCTCAGTTAGGTTTTTTCAGGAGTAGATTTTTTGTAAAATATTAGAAATGTTATACAGAGATAGCATTATGATGATTATGAAAACAGAGTTGGACTGGCAGAAAGCCAGTTCTACTCAGTGTGTCTTCCAAACTAATATTTATATTAATTCTAACATTTCACCAATAACTTTGTATCCACTGTGGAATGCTTACATTTCAAGACTAAGAAAAGGGGAATCTACAATAAAAACTTACTTTATATTAAAGATCCTTTAACTGAACGTTTTTGAAACCCTAGGAATAGTTAATTGAACTCTTAGATTACATATAAACAAAAACTACATCCCACATAGAACTCTATGTAAAGAGTATGTTAATCAAAGGTGAAAGAATGGTTATCCCATTCAGCCTCAGATATGGGGGAAGCTTCAAAACATCCTGTGTATCTTCCTCTCTGAGAGACAATCACTGTCTTCAACGTTGTCTTTTGCTTTTTCATCATACTTTTTGCTGTTGTGCATTTATGAACATATTGTGTGAATTTCTGAGTAGCATTTTTGCTCGACATGTGTTTCAAATTTACTCATGTTGACTCACGTGGCTGTAGTTCTTTCATTTTCCAAGTGTATGTATTCCAGTGATTGAACATACTGTAATTTATTCATCCACCTATTTATATATATTTTGGTTGTTTCTAGTGTTTTGGGCACATCAAACATTACTGTGTGAAACAATTTTGTGCAAGTCTCCTAGAGAACACATACTAAAGGACAATAATAGAATTTCGGGGTGACAGGATGGAGAAACACACACACATCAAATTATCAAATTTGTTTCCAATGTGACGCCTTCAAAATTTACTCCCACCAACCCAGTCTGACGATTTCCACTGCTCCATGTCATCACCAATCTTTGAAATTTTCATACTTTGAATATATGCTGATTAGTTGAGTGTGAAATAGCATTTCATGGTTATTTTACTTTGCATTTCCTTGTTTACTAATTAGCGTGGACTTTTTGTTTTTAATTGGCCATTCATGTTTTTCTTTGAAGTGCATATTCAGGGTGTTCAGTGTTTTGCCCTCACTTTCCTATTAAGTTGCTGCTTTTTAGTGATTTGTAGAAGTTCTTCATATATTCAAGATACCATTCTTTCGTTAAACATATCCCCTCTCAGTATGTGGCTTTTCTTAAATTAACAAGAAGACAAATGGGTTAGACCTTAAGAGTTTGAAGCGATCAAATCCTGTACTTAGCTAGAGAAACTGGATTATTTATCTGAGGTAGGTGGCAGCAGACAAGTTTGGCATATTAGTCAGTGAAAAGAAGAAATGAATCATTAACAAGATTTGGTAGAAGAATGAAAGAAAAGTCTTAGTGTCTGGTTCAAAACAAGAGTGTCTAATCACTGAAAGAGAGAAAAGACTAAGTAACCAGGCAAGAGAGACTGAATACAATTGGTATGAAATCAATAGCCTTTTAAGATAGAAGACAGAAATAACACTCCAAACTAAAGTCACTGCCACTCAAATTCTTGCTTGAGAATTAAAATCTCTTAGATGATAATAATAGTTGTCCTGCAGAAGTGAGAAACCAAACTACTACTTTAGTCAACAAGATCTAAGAATTAAGCCATGTGTTTTCTCAGATATTTTCTTACTTTGCACTAAATTGCTTTAAGTTTTTTTAAAAGATGTATTCATGTATAGAAGAACCGGGGTACAGGCCAGAGGTGTGGTGGGTGAGAGGGTTCACCAGAGACAGTGTGGGTAACAAAACTGAAATACACTGCTGAGGGGAGCAGTGGAGAGGAGCAGTCAGGAGAGATCTTCTGCTCCATGTGGGTAGCTTCCTGGCTGGGGATCGAACTCATGCTGCAGTGGCTGTGGATAGCTTCATAGGTTGTGTCTTAACCCCCTGTGCCACCAGGGAAGCCGCTGCTTTAAGATTTTTTTTAAGATTTATTTATGCATACATAAATAAAATATGTGGGGTGGGGGGCGGTGAGAGGATTCACCGGAGACAGAGTCAGGAGTACAACAGGCGAATCTACTGAAATTCACCGCTGAGGGAAGCAGCAGCAGGCGAGACCAGAGGGATCTGCTGTGCCATGTGAGTTAGCGCCTTGGACCTTGGACCAGGATCAACTCACGCTGCAGTAACTGGGATAGCTTGATAGTGCTGAGACTTAACCCCTGCACCACCAGGGAGGCCCTTGCTTTAAGATCTCGACAAATAATGATTTGTTTAATTCTAATAATAATCCTAAGAAATAGTATTGGTATTATTTCCGTTTTACCAATGCAAAGACTGAGTAATAGGAAATTTGACCAAAATCATAGAGTAGCAGATAGCTTAGCCAAGGTGAGAACCTGTATAATTTTCTTCCAGAGCCAATGCTCTTATCCATCAGGCTTGATGCCACTGTGGGCTGTGTCACATCTAACACTTGGTTCATCTTCTTGGTGGGGAAGATCATTACAAATCCTAAACTTTATGTTAATTTATCTTGCTCATTTATCTGTCTTTAACTGTCATTCAAGTTCCTTTTTCTTTCTAAAGAGGATTATAAATTTCAGTTCTAATAGAGTAGATAGTAAACCTTCAATTAAGAGCAAAGTTTATGAACTGGAAAATGGATAAACTAACTTAATAGTCACATGGTTGAAATAGGCATAAGAGGATAGGCAGCCCAGAGGCTGATGATGCCTTGATCAAAACACACAATCTATGTATATAAAACATAAAAATTAAGATTCAGAGCTACATGAACAAGAGCAATGTAGAGATCTCATAGGAACTGGAGAGGTAAAACATGATACTAATAGCAGTCTCAAAAGAATAAGCTCTTTATGTAAATATTAAGGCATAATAGGCACCCTTTAGAAATACAGTTCTACATAACTTACTAGAGAAGCACTACCAAATCTAGTAACTGAACTGAGGAAGCCACAAACCAAAAGGCACTTCAGAGATTAACGTGATACTAAGCAAGGTGCATTTATTGAGACTTCTACCAGCAATACACTCATTTGCTGTTCTTTGTAAGTAGAGAAATACCTATAAAGGACAACAAAAAAAGTGTCCCTCAATTCCATCAAATCAATGTAATCATCTAATTTGTGTTCCTTGTCAAAACCAGTTTTCTTTTCAGTTTTGTTCTACAATAGTAAAGTAGTTTGGTTGTGACAAGGTTAAACTGAGTAAATAGATGTTATAGTTTTTACCACTGCTACCCCACCACCCC